TTTTATTTATATAGCACTGTGATGGGAAGCCACACAGAGTAAGCTCCACACCTCAACACTAGTTGCTTCACTTTAGTTAAGTTTGCAGTCGCTACTTTAAATATATTCTACTTATTGTCCAATATATTGTTTCTTTTCTTTTCTGTCACACCTTCAAATGTTTATATGGCGTGCACACATATTAACACTGCAATGTCAAAGTTCTGTTTTATGTTATATTAATATATCTTTCTTTCTTTGAGTTACCTGGGGTTTGGTTTCTCCTTCCTGGTTGGCAAAAGATGTGGCAAAGGGCTGGAAGAGCTGAAGTACTGCTGACAGCCTAATTGGACAAAACCACATGCTTCATTGCCTGGGGGTTGTTTCAAGTTTGTTTAATTGTTTTGTATTAGTTGGTTATACTCGCCCTATGACAGCTGGGATAGGCTCCAGCGCCCCCCGCGACCCTGAAAAGGATAAGCGGAAGCGAATAGATGGATGGATAGTTGGTTATATGGCAGCCTTTTTTCCCCCCTTGTGTGCCATTTGGTTTAGCCAAGCCAGTATTTAAGTTACCCGTGTGTCATTTCAGAAGGTCAGCTTGTCTTATGTTTGTTTGTGGTTTCGTTATTTGTTATTTTGAGTTTAGCTTATTGAGTTGACCTCTTTTATTGGTCTGCCTGTTTAAGTTTTTTGGCTTTGTTAATTATCTTTCATATTTTTGGGTCAATAAAACCCCCTTTTTTAAAATTAAACACCTGTGTCCTTTATGCCTTACTGCTTGGTCCCTGACAAGAACCAAATCACAACTGAGATATTTGAATGTATTAAAAAAGATGTTTATTTTAAACTGTAAGTTTCGGTTTTTCTGCATGATAAATAAATGCTGCTGTAATGAAAGAAATCTGTTTCTGAAAAGAAACTGTGGTAGAAACTGAAAAAAGTACTTTCCTGTCACTTAATTGTTTATTACATAGTTACTTTGTTTTGGTATGAATATAGTAAAAGCTGTAAAAACTAAGGAAATACAGTTAAAGTTCCAACATTTATGCCCTCCTTTACATTTTCAAAGGCCATGCAAATATAAATGGACCAGATTTGAGTCGTTGTCGATCAGATTCTAGCCCCCAGCCCATATGTTTGACACCCCTGCTGCACAGTGTACTGTATATACATTTTGTGGTGAATGTTCATGTTTACAATAAGAAGGTCAGTTGATGTACACACCGTCTCTATAACCCAAAAGCTCAAGCTTCAGATTGCTCTGAACACTGGTTCTCTTACTCTTGGGTTTGCATGATGATAAAGGGAGAGGACATCCCCAACATGGTCATCGGAGGGCCACAACCACCTTCTGTTCAAAGCAAGTGTTTGCAAGGAACTGCTATGGCGTGTAAATTACACAAAGCTACTCACTCTCGTCAGTCGCAAAATAAAAACTGGATTTGAAGATCCATGAAGAAGTAATTTTTTTATTTTTTTTTACCATTTGTTTGAGTTTTATAAAATAAAGGATTTGCATAGAAAATGCACATGTTCAATGTCCACCAAAGATCAGACCCAGGAGTAGACAATTTCTCTAGTGAATACAAAGAAATGGGAAAAATCATCTAAACCACCAACTCTATAATGGAGGGCCTCTAGTATGTTCACTTTTCATCACACAAGCCCACAAGAATTCCATAAAAGCCTACCTTGTGTTCCAATCGCAGCCTGATTACTGGTTTAGCATGGACGAAAAAACGATTTCCACGTAGTTACACCAGAGAGTCTGTGGTTTGGATCAGGGCTTCTGAATGAGAGTGCAGACAAGAATGATTTTTTTTTACATCACACTTGTTTAGCTTGAATAATGAGGCAGTGAGTAGTCACACTGAACCAGACAATGGTTGACAGATGCAAATTACAGCATTATGCAACTTTGATTATGTGTGGTGTAGCAAGGCCAATCTCTTTGGGCTCTCTGTCCACGTGAGGCACAACAACAGTCTGGAGAGCAAGATAAACCTCATTTTCTAGTCCTCTCATAGGGAACATCAGTGCAGATCTCAGTCTGTCTGATTTAATTCATTTATTTATTCCATATGACTGGTTTATTTCCCTGTGCTCTCACCTCCCAAAGAGACTGAGCAATAAGAGAAATCAGTCTGTGATACTTCTAAAAAAAGGCTTCGTTGTTCTTTTGCTGCTTTTATCTGGAAATATATACGGCCTAATCCTGGTCCAGATTACAAATGTTTAAATGTTCCTTGTGATTTAAAGCTAGATTGGGACTTGGTATTATTCATTTAAATGTCACTAATCTTCTTCCTAAACTGGACTTAGTGAAAAATTTGGGTGAACGCATTGGATACTGATATTCTTACATTATCTGAAACTTGGCTAACAATAGCAATTACTGGCAAAGACGTTGCAATAACGGGCTACAATTTTTATGTTCATTGTGTTAGTGTTGCAATTTATGTAAAAGACTAATTCCATGTTATTCTTCAGTATCTTTTAATCTTTTACTAAACCGTTTCTTTCTTTCTTTCCTGCATTTAAGCTCCAACTTTTTAAGGACCATTTTATTCCTATTGTAGGTTGTTAGAGACCCCCCTCAGCTATTATTGAGGCTTTAAATTCACTTAGTGACAAACTGTCCACTTTAGATTTTAATGAAATTGGCCCTAAATGAATGCCAGAGATTTTAAATCTGAGGCAGATTGGCTGATTTTTAGACAGCTAAGAAATCGTTCAGCCTTCTTCATTAAAAGCCAAATCAGAATTTTATCTTTCAAAAACTACTGAACATCTTAACGATCCTAAAAAAAAAATTATAACATGTTCTTATAGGGACAAAACTACCAATGAGATGCCAGCTTTTTTTGTAAAAGACGGAAAAATGTGAAATTCTAAACTGCTTTAATGAGTCTTTTGTTTCTTCCAGGTCTTTATTTGAATCTTTACATCCATATTTAAAACTGCCTAATAAACAGCAGGCTCTCTCTTTTACCACTCAAACTGAATCTTTGGATGGATGGATGGATGGATAGTTGGTTATATGGCAGCCTTTTTTCCCCCCTTGTGAAATTCAAGGGGGGGAATCCTTCAGCTTTTCTCTTCCAAATTTCTTTGAAGACCAGAGGACCTTAAATCTGTTGAATCCAAATAAACCTGCAGGGCCAGATCAGCTTGATCCTTATTTTCTTAAGTTGGTTGCAGATTTTATAGCAGAACCACTAACTTATATTTTTAATCTCAGCCTTTTGAACAATGAGATCCCTGCAATATGGAAATCTGCCTATGGTTTCCCATTGTTAAAAGGTGATCCTTCAGATGTTAATAACTACAGGTCCATATCTAAATTGTGTGTTCTAGCAAAAGTTCTAGAAAACTTTATTAGTGAACAAGTAAAAGAATTTTTGGACAAAATTCGGTTCTTTACCAACAGCAGTCAGGATTCAGAAAACAACACAGCACCATTACCGCTGCTATTAAACTGTTGAACGACATTAATGATGCAATGGACTGCAAAGAATACTGCGCTGCTCTTTTTCTTGACTTGTCGAAGGCCTTCGACACAGTTGACCGAGTCATTTTAGTAAACAGACTAAAGATTTTTGGTCTGTCTGTAAATGTTGTAAGTTGGTCTTCAAATTACTTGTCAGCTAGAACACAATGTGTCCACGTTGCTGGGTGTTCTCCCTCTTTTTGCCCAGTATCCAAAGGAGTTCCTCAGGGCTCCATATTAGGGCCATTACTTTTTTCTCTTTATATAAATAACCTTTCTGAAAATTTATCAAACATTCAATTTCATCTTTTTGCAGATGATACAGTTATCTATTCTTCATCTCCATCAGCAGCACAACTCCTTAAATTTCTGCAGTATGGCTTTGATTTTGTTCAGTTCCGTTTAACTCAACCTAAGTTCGTTTTAAATGCAGAGAAATCCAACTTCATGTTAGTTGTTATTAACGTTTCCTGAGATTAAAACCATTTAATGGACCTAAATAGAAATGGTCACATCTTATAAGTATCTAAGTATCATTATAGATCAGAATTTGTCATTTTAAACTCACATTGAAAGGCTTGTGTCCAAGTTGAAATTATGTTACCTTTTAAAAAAAATCAGTTGTTTCTCTCTCCAAGTAAATGAAACACTTGTTTTATGCAACTTTTTTTTTTTTTTACCTTTATTGGATTATGGTGACCTGCTTTTTATGAATGCACCTGCCCACTATCTAAAAAGCTTAGATACTGTCTACCATTGTGTTTTACGTTTTATTACTGGCTCTTGAAATCCTGACCATCTCTGTAGATCTCCACTTTCTCATTGGTTGGTTTTTATCTATAAATCTCTCCTTGGGCTGGTTCCCTCTTATCTGTGTGTTTATATGTGTAAAAGCCACATCCAATATAGCCTCGCTCTCACAATGTCATACAAATGACTGTAACAAAAATCAGAAGACAACTGGGAAAAAAGCTTTTAAATATGCCGCCCCTGTTTCCAGGAAGGAGGGAGAGGACAGAGAGAATAACTCTTTTAGTCAGTGTGACTGTTTTTATGATCTGCTGTTGCATATTTTGTGCTCACTTGTTTCTATGAAATGTTGTATTTGGTTTGAACTTGTGTTGTATTTGTTGTAACTTTTGTTGCCATGATGGCCTGCTCTCTCTAGGAAATGAGATTTAAATCTTAATTAGACTTTCACCTGGATAAAGAAAAGGATAATAAAATATTACAACACTATAAATAAAGACTTTCTGTCAAAAAAAAATACCTAGAAATGTATTAGTACTTAGTGATGCTTAGACCAATAGACCAGTAATCAATCCCCAGAGGCCTGTAATGCACACACCATAGTGCAATTACATAGTCATAAGATGCATTCCAGTCTAAATCATTTTAAATCTCCAAATTTGTATCTACTATCTGGCACTACCCAGCTGTGCATCAAACCCTGCTGGTTCTCACATCTCTTCTCAGGAAAGGCCATGACACAAAAACTGTTTTTTGTTTGTTTATGAAAATTGTTTATTTTGCCACACATCACATTACATACAAAAAAATAATAAAAACAAATAAGAGGCTTTATGAAACTAAAGCCTGATGCAGGATTACATCTAATATTTCTCACAGTGCTGGTAACGAGCTGAGTCCTGTGGTGCTACGACGTGGCAGCTTCCTCCTCGTCTTCCCTCTGCATTTGTTCTATGAGTTTCTGACGTTCGGCGGCCTGCCTCATCCTCATCATCACAATGCTTTCGTAGTCACGCTCATTGGACAGGGAAGCCTAAAGGGGTGATAACAAAAAAGTGGATATTATCATAATGTGAAACAGAGCTACACAGACTAGTAGGACTTACAAAAACAAGATTCATAAGAAGATTTATTTATAGACCAGACAATCAGTTGATTTAGAAAATCAATTCAACAGAGTAGTTTCTATCAGATTTCATGACAGATCAACTTTTAGTTCTACTTAAGGTTCAAGCCACAAAAACCCTTTAATTTTATTTATAAGCAGCAGCGTTTTCATCAGTGAGCAGCATTCCCGTTATAAATGTATGGTGTCCAAGCTTAAACAGTGATAATCCTGATTGTATCACTGAGAGTTCTATTTCTCAGAATTGTCAAAAAAACGTATAAAGCTACAAAAAAATGTCTGTGCAGTCCTCCTCACAAGTAAGCTGAACTTGAAGTGTAAAATCTGTGGAGCGATCCTGTGATCCTGCGACAGAGTCGTAAGAAAAGCCAAACATCTTGGATTTTTAGATCATGACAACAGTCCTTCAAGGCAGCCATCCAACGTTTGGCTAATTCAGGGCTGCGGGACGGCTGGACCCTATCCTAGCTGTTACATGGGCGAGAAGAGAGGTACAGTTTGTTAGTCTAACACAAGGAAAAAAGACAGAGAGAGAGAACAAGTCACAATCAGATTCACTCAGATTCACACCAATTAGGGTCAATTTAGAATCACCACTTAACCTAACATGCATGTCCTAGGAAGCTGGAGTACGTGGCGACAACATGTAAACTCTACACAGAAAGCCTCCAGTGGAGGAAAGATGACTGTGTTAGACACGCAACATCATGTTGCTCATTCAAAGCTGACCACAGACACACACACGCAAAAAAACCAAAATGCAGTCAATGTCCAGTTTCTGTTTGCTTTCACAACCAGGCCTTTGAGTGCGGCCCAGAGAGGCAGATCTCAGTTAACATTTGCATGACGACATGGTGAACATGCATGAGACAGCAGCCCACAGAGAAACTGTGATGGGGTAATTCCACTGCCTTAGGTCATTAAACCTAAAATGTGGGCTGGAATTGGGCCTGGCAGTTGCTGGCAGGGCTTTGGCTTGGATGATGATGGCGACGGATTATCATACTGTGGGGGGAAATCAGAGAGGGCAGCCACTGGCTAATGGCTAATCAAGCAGGGTGGAACACAGCCCAAAAGGGCTTGCACACCCACACACACACACACACACACACACACACACACAAACATCTGTGCAATGACCAATGCCACACACCGGTCAACCAAGATCGAAACACAAGAAACAGACTGTGATGAAACGAGAAAACACTTTAAGAAAAATTTTTAATCTGACAACTTCAATTTAAAATTCACCAGGATTGTGCTTATACTGTATGTGCAACACAAACATAGGCACTCATGGAGACCGTCATCCCATCACTGATTAGGAAGGAAGACCACGTGTACACAAAGAAAGCCATTCTTTGAACAGATTATATCAAGGAAGTCTGCTGGGCCAAGGAAGTGTCTCTTTAACAAGACAGTGAGCTGCAGGAGAGAGTGAGCGTGTGCATTAAGGACGGGGAGTGATCTGATGAGTGGTAAGTTTTGTCGATGCACTCGCTAAGGCATCTGGAAAATATCATAGGGACTCCAGCATCCGTGTGCTGGGGAGAGGGTCTAGTGTGGAGGAAGAAGAAAAAAAGAGAGGGTCGGTGAGGGGGGACGTTACCCTCACTCCCCCCTACGCCACCCCTGGATTGAGGAAAGCTGCTATTATCATTCCAATAACGTGAGCTCAAGCCCCCGTCTGACACGTAACTATGAAATATCACGCGAACACTATTAGGTAAATAAACAACTCTTGTAACTTAAAATTAAACAAAACACAAGCAAATATACAAGAAGCTGTGGAAATCCTCCTGCCTATACAGCAAATCTAACCATACTCTGCTACGCCCCCTACTGGGCACAATGCTGAAGTGCACCAGGAAAACTTTTAGAACTGGTCTGCCTTTTTCTCAGCCCAGCATGATTATGGCATCATGGGCAGACTGCACGACACTAATGATGTAGGGGAATTCTGTGCATTAACAGGTGCTTTATGGGCAGTGTGACGCATTTCTTCTCAGAATGAGGGAAGTTTCCTTGCCTCGGGTGTTAACTTACAATATACATATTTAGCCAGTGCATCACTCTGTAACTAAACACTTGGTGGGTACATATGTGCATGTCTATGTCTGTGTGTGTCTGCAAGTGTGTGTGTAGGGGCGGGTGGGTGTTTGGTGCCTTAACGCCAAGATCCGGGGTGAGCGGGAAACCACAAAACACAAACAATGGGCCACTGTACAAAGCCAAGACAGGAGGGTTCAAGGCCACCGCTGAGGTGGAATAGTAGTAAAACACACAACCACACACGCACATGCATACATATAAACAAGCTGAGGATTAGCTACGTGACATCAGCGCATGGCGAGGCCTCGAAAAAGCACACCCCAGCCTGACCCCAGGCCAGTAATGACATCATGATCACCACAAGTGCTGTGAGTCAAGCAGCACACACACGCTCTTAAAAGTCCTTCCCACACACGGCAGGAGGCATGGCAGGAGCGCAGGTGGCCGCAGCACAAGTTGTCAGATCGCCGAGCGTGTGAGGACAAGTGATTGAAAAGGTGTTTGTACATTTAATAGAGACAGACAAGCGCGGACACGAGTAAAGTGAAACTACATCTATTCAAAACAGCTTCCGTTAAAATCTTGCCATTTCACGCTTAACAGCTTTTAACCTTGCAACTTGACGGCTCACCAATTCAAATTTGATAAATGGATCACTCATTAACACCATAAAGCATCACATGTCTTCAACTAGACGGTTGCAGTGCCGAGGTGACTTTAAAGTCCTCCAAAGCTTAAGAATGGGTTTTTTAACAAGCCTGCTCTGTGGTCCCAGCTAAAATGTGTGCTCTGATCCACTGCGGTGAAGTTAATCAAGGAACTATTTAACTGGCGGGCGTGTGGTGGCGTAGTGTGTGTTTCTGTATTTGTGTGTGTGTCACCGAGCTGTGATTTATGAAAGGCAAATACCAGTATAGAGATCGTTTGGGCGTGTGTGTGTATGTGAAGGTACCCAAGCGCTCATGCTAACACAAACAAAGAGGCAGCCTTACTGCAGATGCATCACTGGAGCCGAGGTGAAATTCTCGTGCAGACAAAACCTAAGCTTTCTAAATGGTAGCGGATTAATCAACATTCATTACAGAAGTCAGCAGACATAAAACCCCAAAGGTTTGTTCTACTACACCGCTTTTGCAAGTAAAGAACAAACAAACCACAGAGGTCGAGACCCAAATGTACTTCCTGTTTTTAGCCCCTCTCATGCAATGCACAAACTTCCTTTATTTGACAGAAAATGTACGTCTGATCAAAGCAGCCAAATTAAACTGCAAAAAAAAAAAAAAACATAGCTGCTGGAATGACTGGTACCAACACCAAGTCAGCTTCAATAGAGTTCAACGTAATAGCTTTAAAAAACATGTTTGCGGCCTGGAACAGGAAAATAAATAATACGTTTGTTGCTCGATAATGATGGAAAGACAAATGTTGAACCTTTCATAACTGTATTGTGGGTGTTTTTTGTTTTGGTTTTTTTATATAACTTTTCCATTTGGATACTGTTGAGGCTTAAAATTAAGGGTACGGCTTTGATTTCCACATTGCCAGGTATACTGACAGCTACAGGAGCTGTCTACCAGGTCTCATCTGCAGGGGCGTATCCAGAACAGGGCATGGGGTGGCACCAGGATGCTGGTGCCCCCCAATACCAATGTCATTGGCATAGTGTACTGCCAGTCTTACAATGTCCAACATCTTTGCATGAGAGTATTGAGAGAGCCATAAGAAATGTAACTAAGTAGATTTACTCAAGTACTTTACTAAAGTACAAATTTAATATACTTGTATTTGAAGTATTTCTAACTTGGGATACTCTCTTTTTTCTACTATATTTTGGACACTGTGCAGCACCACGTTTTAAGTAATAAACCTTTTTGTTCTTGATTCGCCTGTGCCACCCCATTTACAAAACAAATCCTGGACACGACCCTGCTCACCTAAGCTAACTGAAGTCACTGAACTGGATTTCTCAACTATGTTTGTGGTGTTTATGCCATTTTTTTTAATGAAATTATCAAATAATTATTACTGCCTGCTATGGCAGAGACCATACAAGACCTGTGTGGCTCAGTTTTGGTGACTATATTTTTAATCTGCTAATCAGCACTAATTAGCGAGCATGTGTATTTGTGCATTGCATCCTTCCAGTATATGGATGCAGGTAGCTAACGAAGTTTCATAATGTTTGATAATAATTCCAGTCTGTCATCTAAATCATTTCTCGGACTTAAAAAAATACAACGAAAGCTAAAATGCTAAAGTTGTAATTATATTAGCTCATCAGCTCAATCATATTAGCTTTGCTGTACTCAAACACCCCATATAAGCTATATAACTACGCTCATGGGTATACACAGTATTCAACAGAATAGAAGCGTGCAGGGTGGAGTCAGAAAAGTGCCTTTGGAATCTGTAAAAGTAAAGGATATAAACAGTGAAAAGAGAAATGGCAGCAAAGACCTGAACTCCTGGTGCCCTGGCATTTCTCTTTATGATGGATGAGCTCAGGGATCCTTGAACAGGGAAATGTGGGGGTTTGGTTTCTGTAATATCCAAGAATACATTGTTGTAAAAGCAAAATTATGTCTTTCACATTCCAGCCTTCCTGGAAAAGCCCTCTGATTGCAACAGATTTGCTATTAAAACAAAGGAGGCCAGGGCACTGCAAGAACACCATCTGAACCTTGGAGATGTCAAAAAATGAGCCGAGGTATTACACAAGGAAAAAAAAAAGAAAGAAAATGGCACAACAATTGCAGATTTCTGTTTACTTTGTTTGTGCATGTGTTCCTTATCTACACTAATTAATGTGTAAAGTAAGCAAAACCAGTAAAACTGATCTCAGTATGTATTGTTTA